CTGATAGGACCCCTTTAAATCATGCAGTCCCTATGTTCATTTGTAAATAAAACACACTGTGTGTTTTTCTTTTTAAATTGTACTGAACAAAATCCAGAATGTCTAATCCTTATGAATTATATTTAATTCCCTTTCCTTCAACCACCTTATTAAATCACCAATTCTATCTATGGGACATGCCAAACGTGTCAAAATATGAAACATACACACCCTTTAAGCCAGCTCAGTGTTTTTGCTTTATTTGCTGCAAGAAGTAAATGCAATAATGGAGTATCTTCAAAATACATCACCCACCTCCACTTCCTGTGCAAATTATTTGTGACTCAATCTAGGATCCTTTCTTTCATGCAATCTATGTTTTGCCCCTAAAAGAGTAAAAATGCTGCCCTCATGTGGCCAAAAGTGTCAAGACAAGAACCCATAAAAATCAGTCCATGCAACTTTCTAGTCTCTTTAATAATTTGACAAGAATTACACATGATCATAATGATGCATGTATTGCTTTGTCATGATTGTATATTTAGAAACACTTACACAGGTTACACATGCCATGGCTATTGTTGCTATAATCAGCAGCTAATTAGATTTGCATTGAGCTTGACCTGGATCCAAGACACAGGTTCCTTGCAAAGTTAACCAGGTCATTGACGAGCGGATTTAAATGAGAGGGCTTCTCACACACAAACAAGTAAGCCATGAGCTTGTAAAGGCATAGCATTATGTGTGTGATTAGCAAACTGAAGTTACTATGATAGCTCAAATACATTGACTTACAACAGCAGCTTTTGAAATAGACAAAGTAATAGCTGGCTGTTAGAAATGAGAGCCAGGAAAAAGAGACACCTGCAGAAAGAGTAAAATCCAAGGTATAGTAAAATCCGTAGAGAAAATATTATTTTTGTTGCATTGTTTTGTTTGAGTGTAATGGCATGCATCATTTAGTTGTTTTCCAAAAGCATATATACAAAACAGAGACAACAGTGCAGCTAGTGCAGGACATGCTTTAACATCTTAGAGTAGATAGTGGTTGCAAAGTATGACATCACTGAAACTGGATGCCCCACTTACAGCAATTATACCTGACATGCTCTCCTTCTCCACATCTCCCTCTGCCTCTCTCTGATTCTCTCTGGTTTCATGACAGGCTCTGCTTGTTGTTGACCACTGGAATGGCCTGGAACCCACATGATGTCGTGTCATTCAAACCGAAATGTACATGCATGACAGCATTTTAACCTAATGATCCACACAGAGACTTTTTCTATAGTTAAAAAAAAAATGGAATCAAAGTCAAAATTAACAATACAATTTAAACACTTAAAAGTATAATAACTATACCTAAGACATAATATATGTTACATTATACCAAATATTTCCCAAAAATGTTCCTGCAATTTTAGTTGAGGAATTAGTATATTAACTTGGGCTGTCATAAACTGAAGTTTTGTCCAGTTTAAAGTCACCTTTTTCAGTACATTTCTTAGATCGCAGTTGTTTTTAACTATAATATTTCATCCCATTGAATGTGTATGGATTTAAGTTATCAGAGAAAAAAGAATGAGCTGATGTTAGCAACAGCCAACCAGGGAAAAAACAAGATTTTATTGTCAAACTGCTTTATTTTGTGTTTTTACTGTGTTTTGCTATTGGGTGTGTTTTGCTGTAGATCATTTGGCTACAATGAAGAAATCCTAACCAAGTTGCTTATGCAATGACAGCAATTTATGCAACGTTACTCCATATTTCGCTATTCTTTTTGATTGAGGGACCCATAGTCGCAAAAACTACTTAAGGAAGACAAAAGTGGCAAATTAACATAATTTGTTTTGAAAAATAAAATCTTCTTCTCATCATCACAGTGAAGTTAATTGTTGTATATTAACCAATTGAAATGTAATGATACTTGTACTAATTTAATATTTCCTTTTCTTATTGAATTGATCATGTCATTTAGTAGGAACTATTCTACTATTCTTTTAAATCCACAGTTTATTCGACAGCTAGGAATAAGATTTATTTCAAACAAGTTGCTTAAAGAACACATAAGATGTCATGCCTTGATTAAATGGTCCATCTGTATATCATATCGTTTCTTTATATAATAAAACATTTGCTACACCATAACGATTTCTAAAGTATAATATACTTTAAATACATTTATTAACATTTGCTTTTACACTTTCAATACATGTTGTGTGTACCTTGATACTTTCCCATCACAGGGTAGATTATTTGGGATATTTATATTCCAAGAGAAAGTCAAATGGTTTAATTTAAACTTGTTAAAAGTGTGGTCTGAGATGTATTATCTTCCAAAGACAGACATTAGGCCTATACTTTATGCTTTTACATGGCCCATATTTTGAGTAGCCATAATAGAAAAAAGCACACGTGTAACTATTTTTACTAATTAGCTATGTTCTCATTATATTTCAGTGTCCCAGTTAGGAATCCTGCTTTGGACTGCACGTCCACTGAAATGAAACATAGCCATTATTTGTATTTATTTGTATAACCTGCTATAATCAATAATAATAAATAATATGATGTCATCTATACATCAATTAGACCTGTGTTTTTGATTCTATGCAAGTTGTTAAAAAGGTAATTATTTATGTGGTTTAAGATGTTTTCAATCAAGCAGGGGTATTACAAACACCTCACAGCAACTTCTAACACCTTATGAGAAGATGAAGTTAAAGTAACTTGGTTATAATGGCTTGAAATACATCTTTATCAGAAGCAGTGGATGGTTAATCTATCTAAAACATTTGTCTGCTGAAGAGGACAGACATGCTTTTATTGCATTTAAATGAATAACCCGGTATGAAAAGAGGAAGTAAACAGATAAGATAATGTGGCTTTAACTCTCAACCCTCCTCCTCAAGAGGCGAACATGACGTATTACAGCACTACAGCCAATCAGAGGGCAGTACGCTCAAGCTGGAGGAGTACTCCGTGTGTTCGTGCAGCTGGTGTGCATTTGGCTGTGTGTATGTGTGTGAGTGTGCGTGTGTGCGTGTCTGAATGCCAACAAGTTGATATTTTATTTTTTTATTTCCCAAACATTTTTTGAATTAAGCTCCGGAAGTTAGGTAGAGCTACGGCGAGTGGGGCATTTTTCAGAGGAAAAGAAAAGTACTTTCCACAACAACGGAGACTCCAATGAACTCGAAAATAAGACTATGCACAGCCTCTGAAAACAAGCCACATCTACGCAGTTTATCGAATTTCGGTGTATCATTTTTCTCGACACGAGCTAACTTGAGGCTAAACTGTGCAGCACCTCGCGCTGCAGTTTTTTGTGCTTGGCAGTCAAGTGATAGTCCCGCGTGCCTTCTTTTAAATGCGTAAAGTCGCTCATGTTAGCTAATGAAGTTGTAGTAACCGTCGTTATTAACGTTATAGTAGGGGATAAGCCATAAGCTACTCTGTAAACAATGCTAAAGACGCTGACGAAGAAGCTACGAAGACATTCCCTCAACGAGATACATCCTTTCCAACTGAAGGTGAGTTTGACAATTAGAATACTACCGCTATAGTAACATACTTTAAATGGTTGTAGTTGTCATTAGGCCCACATGCTGCACTTAAATACACATTGTAGTCAGTGGTGGAAGTACACAGTGTAGTAATACTCTGTTACAAGTAAATGTCCTGCAATAAAAAAAAAGTTTCAAGTCAAAGTAGAAAGGTATAAGCATCAACATATACTTAAAGTACCATAAGTAAAAGTACTCATAATGCAGATGTGAGTAGCCTTCTTTTACTTTTGGTACATTTCAGAATAATATATATACAGTCTATATAATATGTTTGATTTTAATAACTGATACATTTATGTGTTTATCAAAGCTGATAATGGTGCAGCTAATTTAAATGACTTTGTATACAGGGTAGGTTGTGGAGTTACTCCAGGGGTGACTAAAGTCTTATTCAAGTGTTTATTATATTTAATATCATTAATACAAATTGGCAAGGTAACTAATGCTGATGAGTGAAAGTACACCATTTACCTCTGAATTGTTGTGTGTTAGAAGTATGAAGTAGCAAAAATATGGAAATACTCAAGTGAAGTTCAATTCTCTCAAAATGTTACTAAACTTGAGTAGACTTGAGTAAATCTACCTAGTTACTTTACACCACTGCTTGCTTTTTGTCTTGTGACCTGTTCATTTGTAGGCCAGTTGAGTACACAGCTTAACATAATGGGCTCACAGATTGTAACCTTGCTTGAGGGGTTATAAAGAGTTCATTGTCACTATCTTCCTTTCTCTTTCACATAAGGCGCTTTCACACCGGAGTACTTTTCCCCGTACTTTTCCCTTTTAGTTTTAGTTACGGGGACAATAAAGTATATCGTATCGTATCGTATCGCATAGTTCCAATAGTTCCTGGGATTTTGCGTTCACACCAAAAAGAGAACTTAGTTCATGAGAACTTTTCCCCCCTTTTCAGTGCCTGCTATAGAGCAGGTACTTTCCTGGGGAGAAAAAAGTTCCAATTTCTGATTGGCTGGGCGAATTGCAAACCACGCCCCGTAAAACTCTGAAAAGTTTTGTGAAGCCGCCATTGTATTTGCTGGCATTAGCATTATTAGCATTAGCATTATCCCCGCGCACCAACGGAGAGAGACTAACTTATGGCAACACAAAAAAAAACATGGGAGCGGTGGAGTGATGAGGAGGTGTCGGCGTTCTGGCGATTTACTCCCCCAATTCCGGGGACTTCCGGCCGGGGACGCCGTGAAGTTGTTTGCGGCCTGCCAGTAAACCCAAAGCAGAAGAAGAAGAAGAAGAAGAAGAAGTGACGTCAGCGTCTTCATTTGCGTAATCTTCCCTCAGGGAACTTATTCCGGTGTGAACGCGATCTTTAGTTCCATGGGGGGTACTAAGTGCTGGGAACTAAGTACGGCAAAGTACTTGGTGTGAAAGCGGCTATAGTCAGACTCAAGACACATAGACAACACACTGTCTATAGCAACTGCCGGCCTGTGTGTTCTCATATTCAAGCATGTCTTGTTTGAAGGTATTATCTGCCTCCAAGCATCTCAACTCATTCATTACCATGTCCATGCTAGAAGGAATTTACTCCTCACGGCTTACAGGATCAAGGCAGATGTTTACAAGGAGAAACCGGAGATCCACACTGCTCTACATACACATCAGCAAACATGTGGCATGTCAACAAACTCTCCCACACATCTTACTCAAAGATCATTGACTCATCAACTCAAAAACTGTTAGTTGCGGCTGTTTGAAATAGTAAATCACCAAACGCACAATTTTTTTTAATGTTAAAAATCCTACATGCATACCTGTTAAACTAGTCTGGGTTCTCCATCTAAGGGAATATAAATGGTATAGCTTATTTAGATCTAAACACAGACTTATTTCAGTAAAAACCCTTTTATTCGACTATATTAATCCCGACCTCTACATCTTTCCCCTCCAATTTTCCAGAAGTTTTCCGCAATTGATACGACCCGCTCAGTTTGCATAATGCCTCTTTTTGGTGAGCAGAGGGGTGAATCGTATCCTGCATGGGTCACTAGCTTGCTCCATCCACAACAATATTGTGTGTCAACCAACTGTATTGTCTCGTGGCGGCCATTTTGTGCCAAAGTGCGCCCATTCAAAGGCCTGGTTGAGGATACGGGGGAAAGTGTGCCATCCCCGTTGTCTACTGTTTGTGTTTGTTGCTCTGTTCAGTGGCGAGGTTATTTCTGCTGAAAGTGGTCAGTGTGGTGGGGAATGTGAGTTTGAAGTACTGAATGGGCCTGTTGTGAATATCCTAGCCTGTCGAATAAGATGTACTGTATTACACCTGATACTGAGAGAACAATGTTTGTTGAACCAAAATATGTAAACCCGAAAAGATAATATTATTAAGTGCCTTTTATTTAGTCCTTTTTTGACCACTGTACCCTGGTTTGGAAGGCTCCAGATTCACATCCTTACAATATAATGGAGCATGTCGACTTTAAAGGGTCATTCCACTGAATCACAACTCAGGTCTTTTTTTCGTAGCGGTTCTTGTAAATGTCATCAAACAAAGGTTGGATAGCATATAGTGTCAACCCTCAGGACCACTCTGCCATTGATGGCTCAGTTATTTCAGTCCATGATTTCCCTATGGCTACTATTGACAGCGATTATTATTAGCCAATATTTCGAGGATTGATGAAGCAGAACCTTTGTTCTGGCGGATTTAGTTTAGGTATTTGATTCAGCAGAACTACTTTATATACTGTCATCCTATTCACAAGTTACTAAGGGTGTATTGGCACATATAGGTCAAGGATTGGTTTACATAGTTTTAGGAGTTACGCTGGGTGATATTTAGAAATACATTTATCACAATATTTTTTACCAAATACCTGGATATTGGTATTGTAACAATATTGTAGGGTTGACCATTGATGCCTTGACAGAATATTTACACAATAAGAATTGTGTCAAAGAATAATCAATAATCTGGATATAATGACTAAGCAGTTAATGGCAATAATATAATTGTTGAAACAATCATTTCAATTGAGAAGACTTTAGACTTTACTCTATTGCTGTCTTAAAACCAGGAAAATACAAAAGACTTGCAAAATATAAAAATAAATCTAGTGTTGAATCCTGATATCGATAAAATAATTATACATTTCCCAGTCCTCCTGGGAAATAATAGAAATACTGTATTCCATCCTAAAAACAACACTTAAAATATAACGTTATCCCAAAGGATGATATTTAGTTTCAATTGTTGACATTATTTTGAGGTTTTGCCCAGTCCTAGCAGGAACCCAGCATTCAGCTCTGCTGTTTCACTTGTGTTTGCCATGGTGGAACCTACTAGCTTGCCAATCCGCTTGCTAACTTAAGCAAATGTTGCTAGCGGCGTATGGTAAAGGTTCCTGGTGGAACTCGCAGTTTTAAAATGTGGTTCTGCATTATGTACATCGGTCTTCATACCGTGTATTCTGCGTGCGGCTGCTTGCACTGGATTGTGACAGTTCAACAATAATACACAAACTGTCAGTGCCCGACAAGTTACTCAGATAATGTTTGAGTTTAAAGTGTGCTAACTAGATAATCGAGGGCTGAACGACAATGCCAGTATATTTAAAAAGAGGCTAAAGGTCTCCAAGGCCCTGTTACACTACCTATCCTACTAATCAAGACTGCTACTACAATATAAGCCAGATCCAGTGGAGTGTGAGAGAAAGAGAACCAGCCATGGGTCTGACCCTGCGGCGTTGTGTGTTTTTCATGAGAGGGGGACTGGAGTGTGACAGTGGCCATGTCAGTGTGGAAGGACAGTGCAAAGCTGATGTGTGTGAACTGGGCAGTGTGTGTATGCTGTCACATTGCCATTGATCCAGCTTAGCAAGCTGCTCAGCGATGCGAGGGACTGACAAGGATTTCATTCAACTGTTCTTGACACACAAACACACAAGTCTTTGTCTGTCTTTGCATGTACGCACAAAAGCAGTTTTTTTCTGCCTGATGCAGTCTCACAGTGCATCAACTCTCTGAATGTGATCAAGTGGGCTGCAATTACTTCATAGTCTTGATTTTGGGAAATCTTAACATTAAGATAAACCTGCCGAATTATAAGAACTGACATGTAAATGTTTCTCTCTGTCACATTTACACATATTTTCTGAGAAAGACTACCTGATTTCAATCAAGGATTTGTAAGAAAGAGAGTGGAAAAATGCCCTTTAAAAGTAACTATTATTTTTTTAGGCTCTGTTTTCTCTTCAGTTTTCACTTTCTTTAAATTATGGAATATTGGAAATAATTGAATGTTTTATTTCAACAAGGAATTTATTGTATTTTAGCATGTACTGATAGCAACATGTTTTGCGTTGCATCAGTGATAAGCATAACAATTCTAAAACATATAATCACTTTGGTTAGTTTTCAGACCTCTAAATTAGTTTTCTCAAATCCTCACATCAAACACAATTGGAATATTTGTCATGCAAAGTTTTGTATGTGTATTACATTTGGAAGTCTATAACAGATGTATAGTATGTGGAAGCAGCATAGAGGGCCAAACTTGTGTTGAGCTTACAACATCTCCAGATACATGGTGTGTTTCATTGTGAGTGTGATCCTAACTAATAACCATGTGGGGAGAAGGGTGTGACTGAGTGTCGTCCTGAGAGAGCAATTCAATGTGTTCCTGTGCTACATGTATACATCGTGTGCTTTCTCTTCTGCAAGTAGTCCTTTATCTTGCAGCATAAACATGTGACTTGCATGTATTTTATTCATTGTGTTGTGCTTTTGCAGATTAGGTGTTTATCTTTTGAGGTGTTCTGGGAAAAAAACATCTGGGAAGTCAGTATCAGTGCTTTGCAGGGATTATACTATGAGGCAGCATATCCAGGTCAGAGTGGTGCAATCCTGGTTTATCCACAGTATTATAGAGGACGTGGAAAAAAACAATGAGTAACTGGAAGTCACAATAACACGTCTTGCATCAGTTTAGGTGCTGACATTTATTT